ACTGGTAAGTGTTGAGTCATTTCCTAAAATGCTCAGCTTCTGAGAAGCCTGCCCAAGCCATGGTAGCCCCAGTTCCTCTCCAGGTGCCAGGTTCCCTGACCTCATGGACACTATCAACATCAGCATTACTTGGTTCCCTGTCCGTAGCCAATGGCTTTTGTGGTTTTCCACTTGCAAAGTACTTCATGTCAAGGCTAATTCATGGATGAAGCTAAGCTATGGTATCTTAGATGACCGAAGGACTGAATGCAATGTGTGACTCTGTGTCCATCCATAAAGCAGTTTAGGGCTCAGGCAAGGACCACGCTACCAGAGGCCACTTACTGAGGCAATGCGGTGGACCCTCTGCCTTCTTCGCTACCACACCCAAGTCCTTCTATAAGTTGTGAACCAAAGGTTCAGCTAGAGGAAGCACTCAGTACCTTTACTTCCTTGTCCAAAGTGACTGAGGTGCGGGGAAAGACCACGGGGTTAGTCTGTAACCGAGTAGTGGCGCCGTTGGCACAGGCTCTTCCCAAGCTCTCTAACCTCAGCAGTAGACACCATGAGCTGCCACAGAGACAAGTTGAGGCTTGGAGTCTGTGAGAGTTGGGGAACAAAATTAGCAGTGAGTCCAAAAAGTTGCCCATGGCCCTAAGGCTGCTAAGTATCCCAGCAGCTTCGCCAAGTGAGCCCCTTGCAGTGCCCACAACCTGGTGGATCCCATCCAGACCTGAGCAGATAAGTACGGGCTTGTCTTCTGATCTCTGAGAACATGGGATGTGGATAGGACAGGACCCTGTGCGATAAAACGATGACATGGCCAGGACACCACAACTGTTTGGGTCCTGAGTCTAATGCACAAAGATGGGGGTAGGGTGACTCCTCCAGTCCAGCAGAGGCGTCATCTTTTCTACCTGAACAGAACGGGCTTTGGTTTACCAACATGGAGGGGGTGTTCAGGGAGCAGATTGAGTGTAGAACCTCTTGGAAAGTTGGGGTTTGGGGGAACATGGGGCTGAGACCCTAGGCACCCTGTGAACTCTCTGAAAATGAGGTAAGCCTTTAGTTAATTTAACAGTTTGTATTGAGTGTATGTAGGCATATTCCTCCAAGCTTTGCAATTTAACTCATAGTTCTAATTATTATTACTATTATTATTTAGTTTTTTGAGACAGGGTTTCTCTGTGTAGCCCTGGCCATCTTGGAACTCACTCTGTAGACCAGGCTGGCCTCGAACTCACAAAGATCTACCTGCCTCTGCCTCCTGAGCTCTGGGATCAAAGGTGAGTGCCGCCACTACCTGACTTCTTCTGCTTATAATTAAGAGCTTCTTATTAGGGTCAGAAAGTTGGAGAGTAGAAAGCTGTTAAAAGGTTCAGATGGGCTCGGGATAAAATGTACCGAATGTGTTTCCACACGTGCACCTCAGCAACAAGGAGGAACATGCAAATATCTTTCATATGCTTTCTCGTTTTTCCCATGGCCAAGAGAATTTGGGCCTGACATTCCCTTTAAGTGCAAGAAAAAAATGTAGAACACACCATATGGTGTGCGTTTGAAGAAATCCCTGGAGACAGTACATCTGGGCATCTTGCAGAATCAACATGTTGGAATATGCAGCTTCCCTTTGGAATCTGAACTTTTCAGGGGACAGAACCAGGCCAGGCTCCACACAAAGCCCAAAATGCGATGAACTTTCTCATAAAAGAAAGGGTACTGTGGCAGTAAGGCATGTTAGTAACCTCAGAGGTGGCCCCAAAGACCAGGGCTTTTGGCCTGTGGAGATCCCAAAAATGAGTAGTTCCACTGGACAGTTTAACGAAGTGGCTGGAAGAATGTGCGGAGAGAGGATACAGGAGGGTGTGAGAGAAGGTAAAAGATTAAAGCTGAGAAAACATTCCTGCAATGGCTTCTCAAGCACACAGACAACAGGCAAGGACAGGTGTCCTCTCAAGCTGTTTCCCATGAAACTTGACCCACCCTTCCGCCAACAGAGGCCTGTTAACCCCATTTGCAACTGAAGGGCCCTGCCCCTTATTCCCAGTGAGGCATTGTTGAGGGTCAGGAAACTGCTTTGCAGAGCCTTGGCCTGGGAACAGGCTGCTCCCTTCATAGGAAGCCAACTGGATGCCTCTGCATCTGCCTACTGATAGCTGACTAGCGTGTTATTGATCATGGAGTCTCCCCCATTTCTGGCCCCCTTCCTGCTCAAAAACACAAGGAATAGGGGCTCTGATTTTGACATCATTCATCATTCATTACTCTGTCTTTGATCCCTTAGTGAAACCCGAATTTTACCGCAGCAGCCAAACTGGGAGTGATGGAAATGGCAGCTAAGACTTAAGCTTAGGAGGCACAAGGAACGGGCACGGCTGAGACCAAAGTGCTGCTTATTTGTTTTGAAGCCAAGAAGGCTTGCCTGCCAGTCAGTCCTTGTGAGGAGTGGGCTGCCCAGATGGGGTGTCCAGGGCCCTGCCCACACGGGCTGTTGTGCACATGTTGGCATCAGAACAAAGGGAATGTTGGGCTGCCTGGCTGACCAGTGCCCAGCTTCATGCCTCCCCAAATGCAAAGCCTTCTGTTTCTACTCCAGCAGCTGTCAGAGGGTGCAGTGAGAGCCAAGAGGGACTTAAGGAGGCCCTAGTGCTCTAGCATTGGCTTGGTGAGGTGGGTGCCTGGTGGAACAAATACTCCGTGCCTGGATGAGCCTTCAGTTGTAATAGGCAGAAGCCTGGGGCCGTTATGATGGAGACAGCTTTCTGGTGCCAAGCTCCTTTCAGTTACTCACATCTTTCTTGCAAAATGATCTGCGAGGTTTAAGTACATTCTTGCCGCAGGCAGTTTTCCTTGGAATGATGTAAAGGAAGGTGGGGGGGGACAACTCTTGGTGGGGTAGCTTTAGATTTATTAGACCATGGAAGAGAGCGCTCCTCAGTGCCCGGGGAACTTTCCAGGGGCCTCTGAAGTGCAGTTGCTCACAGCTCACTTTGTGGGGAGCTTCCTGACTTGGCAGGTATGAGTCTCTCTACCCTGAAGGAGGATTAGGGCCTCTGCATGTTTCCAGTGAAATGCTTTTAAAGGAGTGGCGTTACCAGTGTTCAGATGGAAACTCATTCATTGTCTTAACCAAGAGGCTCAGCCAGGTCTGGGCTACATAATTTGCAGGCCCCAGTTCAAAACGAGAATGTAGGATCCTTTGTTCAGAAGAGGTTAAGGATTTAGGCTGGCTCCGCAGTTAAGAGCACTGGTTGCCCTTCTGGAGATCAGGGGTTCAATTCCCAGCCCCTGCATAGCAGCTCACACCTGTCTGTAACTCCAGTTCAAGGGGACTGGATGCCCTCTTTCGACGTCCTGGGTACCAGACATTCTTCTTCTGATAACTGCCCTTGGTCACACTTAAAATGCTCACGGAACATTGTCCTTCAGCTCGCAACATACAGCAAGCTTTGTGAGAGAATTTGGGTTCATCGGCCATGCAAACGGGCATCACATTTGGGAAGCTTGGTTCCCATGATATTAATTCATTCACCATCGACTATCAATAGAGGCCAAGACCCAAGTTAGGCTCAGAGGATGTATATGAACAAGTCTCATCCCCTGTCCTTAAAGAGCAAATGGCTTAACGCTGAAATGAAAGGGTTAATGATCTTCTTATATAGATCAACAACAACAACCCACAACCAAATAAACAAACAAACAAAAAACTAACAGTGGGCTTTCTTCCCTAACATGACCTCACTGACACCTTCTAGAAAGTCTATTAAGTAGGCAGCCTCCTTGACCTTGCCAGTAACTTGATCATCAGGTCCTCCTGTGGTGACTATAGTTTCTTTGGGGCAGTTAATTCTCATGTTCTGTGAGAAACCTTATTTCTGCTACCCTGCTTGCCTTTCTGAATGGCCAGTGGAAACAACAGTGCAAACAGGTAGTGTCGGCAGTGAAATTTCAGGAAGCCCAAGGCTTAGAGACGGAGCAGGATTTGGACGGGTCTGCACTCATAGGTTGGGCCTGCACATCTTCTTTGGTACCACACGGAAAAGAGTGTCTGGGTAAAATATTTTAGCCCTTTCTTTGTGCTCTGTTAGCTTTATTCCTTCTCTTAAAATAGCTGTGGCTACAATCCCGGAGACCCAGCTTCCCGCTCAGAGTGTGATTTTGTTGGAGAAATGGTTCAGCTTCTCACCAGCACCAGTGACTTGGCCGGTGCAAAGAGATTTGCTTTTTAGAAACATGAATTGTTTGGGAAATACTCTGCTCTTGCTCCAAATGGGTCTCCATTCTCTCCCAGCTTAGACCCAGTCCTCCCACAAAGCCTACACAGAAGAAAGAAATGGCCATGGGATGCCAGAGTGTGCTGAAACCTTGAGTCAGGATCCTCGGGTTCTCTCGGATTCCACACTGGGGTGCCTCCTGATGTGTCCTAGAGTCCTGAGAGACCCCTCATCACCTAGGGGCATCATTAGGGCACCCACAGAGCCCCTCTTATCACCTATCAGAGAGGATTAGTTATTAGAGACCGTAGCTCCTGGGCAGTAGCATCTTGGCTATGACCATGGTTGGTAATGGAGTCACCTCTCACAGTGAATGTGTGAGAACCTGGGGGGCTATTTTTAATGAAACTGAAGGAAACACCAACATTTCTTTTCATTGTTCTCTTCGGTCTCCTTTCTCAGAACCTTCTGACAGCTGCACTTGGACATTTGTGACCTAGCCATGATCCATATCTAGGATAATTGAGTAGGACCAGCTCACTGTCAGGTCTTAGTGTCACAGAAGAAATTGTTCTGGTCACCTTGTAGCAGGATTCTCTATGCCCCCCAACTTATGTACATAGACACCCCTTGCATTCCGTCCTTATAAACTCTATATACCACCTGAAGCCAAGAAGCGTCTCATCATTCACTTATGATCCAGAGTGAATTTGCAAGCTGCCTATTGTATTTCCAGCACCAGCCTGTCCTGGGATGCCACACCGGCACTCTCTGCCCAGGTCTTACCGAAACTTTCCTTCTCCACAGATCTCCAGGACTTTAAGTTAGATGTGCAGCATGTGATTGAAGTGGACGAGGGGAACACAGCTGTCATTGCCTGCCACCTGCCTGAGAGCCACCCCAAAGCCCAGGTCCGGTACAGTGTCAAACAGGAGTGGCTGGAGGCCTCTAGAGGTAAGGGATGGGCAAGCACCCCAAGGCAATGCCCAGGAGTGCTTGCTGGCCTCTGATGGCTTTCACTTCAGCTGTTGCTGCCTCCCTGAGTCCCCATGATCATGTTGACAGCACCAACTTCACGCTAGCCAGCTGTCCTTTACTCTGACATTTGGCTCTAAAAGATGCCAAGAAGGCAGTTTCCATGATGGAGTTCCTCTGTCCTGTCTTGCAGGCTTTAACTCATCTTGTGGGGCCTTGGGAGGTGTTGCCATGCTACTGCCATTTGATCAGGCACTCAGCACATGGCTGGCTCCAGATGCTCTCTCTTCAAGCCTCTGCCACCAGGCATGTAGAGAAAAGCTGTCTGACAACTCCAGAGCTTCAGCTGTCCCTGGTGGGAGGGAATTTTCCCCCACATGGTCTTTAGGGGGACCTTACAGCTGCCCCCATTTCCTGAGGACTGTGGTAATCTCAGCTCTCGCAGTTTTCTTCTCAGACCATAGTGGACATGATGGCCGGCCTAGGGGAGGCCATAGTTTGGTCCACAGTGCCAACAGAGAGGTTCATTAAGATGAAGTCAGCCACTCCACAACAGACTTACATGTAAGGCCAAGTTGACTTAGCTTTCACTGACCTTGTAACAAAAATGCATACCTTTCATATTATAGACTTTAGGCTTTCTTTGCTTATGAAAGGAATATATGATTGTGATAGAAATATTCGGAGGAAAAAAGAAACTCAGAAAGAACAGAACACTGCTTTTGAAACATAAGCACCCTGGTCCAATCACTCAGAAATCATGGAGAGGTGAGAAGAGATGGCGGGGGTTCTAATCCCAGTTCCTTCGGCAGAGGCTTGACAGCAACCCTGGGCGAGACTCACTCCATCTGGCATTTGCCTAAGCAGCTCGCACCTGGGTGGCCCAGCAGCAGGCAGGCACCAAGCTTGGTGACACCCTGACTCCCAGGAGGGGCCACCAGGACAAAGCTCAGAGCTGACTGATGGCCAGTACTCTGCCTGCCAGGAAACTGAGGGCCACCCCTGTCGCTGGGCTGTCCAGAAGTTGTGAGTCTGCCCCTTGACTAACAAACCTGAACACATGCTTCAGGCCCCACCCACGACACTCTTGGACCAGGAGCAGATGGAGCCCACCAGGCCAGTGATGACTGGATGGGGTTTTGGTGGCTGTCACAGGGAGGGCAATGGCTAGGGGTCAGCACATTCCCCTCCAGTAGAAGAATTTCAATAGTGAGACAGCTTCAAGTGGTGGCTGTGGCACAGATGGGTAAGACGTGCCGAAGTCAATTCCAGAAGCTCATCTTTCCCCCTCTGTGTGGCGTGAGCCTCAATCTTACTAGCACGTCAGCACCACACTCTGCCTTTCTTTTTCTCCCCCACAAGACAGGGTTTCTCTGTGTAGCCCTGGCTGCCCTGAAACGCACTCTGTAGAGCAGGATGGCCTCGAACTCAAGTTCTGCCTACCTCTGCCTCACAGTGTGCTGGGATTAAAGACATGTACCACCACTGCCCTGTTACAGTCTGCTTTTGTAGAAGTGGATCTAAGATATTGATTGACTTCTCAAGATCACGCTGTATCCTGTAGATTCAGAGCTCAAGCCCAGGTTGATGCCCAGCCTTGCCTCCTTTCTCCCTCTCCTAGCTCCCTTGAGAATGTAAGATGATCCTCGCAGACAAACTCTAAGCCCAGGGCATTCAGCCAAGCACTTCAGGAGCCTGTAGATGAGTTAGTTCCCTACGCTGGCAACCTGCCCACACAGTACTAAGTGGAGAATAGTATTTCCGGCGGCTTTGTCTGATTCTCTCTGGGTCTCCTCAACTCTAGGAGACTTTCAGACTGTAAGATTTTGGGCCCAAACTCACCTCATCTTCCTTCTCCCCTAACCTCTCTACAGACAACTACCTGATCATGCCATCAGGGAATCTCCAAATTGTCAATGCCAGCCAGGAGGATGAGGGCATGTACAAGTGTGCCGCTTACAACCCGGTGACACAGGAAGTGAAAACCTCCGGCTCCAGTGACAGGCTGCGCGTGCGCCGTAAGGACCAGTGGCTTGTCAATGGTTGGGTATTGTGGGTAAGGTGCACAGACCAAGTTCAGGGTCGGTGAGCCTAGATGTAGAGCGGTGGTAGCACCCCAGCCTTGGGGCCATCACAGTTCATTGTTGTAGAGTTCAACTCCTTTACCAAGTCACCTTGCAAGATGGGTGGGTTTGCTGGGCGGGAGTGTAGAGCAGTGTCTTCATGCAAGTGACACTCTTGTGGATGGGCTCTGGGCCTGCCTTCTGCTCCTAAACTGTGCCCAGTGTGTGTCTCTGCTGAAAAGCCAAGGAAGCCCCTCAGGCTCCTCCTTGGCGGTGTGAGCACCCTCCCCTCCTCCGAGCGTCATCAAGAACTCCATGACCCGGTGCAGGGCACCACATGTGCTTTTCTCCCAAAGCTAATGGAGCTAAATCATTTTTCTCTTCTTCTCCCTGCTGAGAAAGAGTCTCCCAAACCGTGCTTCAGGGTTTATAAAAACTGGAGCTGCAGATGGCTGGGCTGGCTGGCCCAAAGTGTGAAGTCACGGGGGCAGGCTCTGCAAGGACACCTCTGCCCCCGGGATAGGGGCACACTATCCTTTCTGCCAGTCTGTGCGCTTTCCCCACAACATTAAGAAAGATGGCTGCTTTCCCTATCAAGCACCTGTGTTTGGGGGACTTTGCAGTATGAGAAATGTATAACTTTAAACAGTGACTCCCGCTCACCCTGTTAGGGACATACCCCCTTGGATGCTGAAGTCTAGTTGGTGCCTAATAGACACCTGTCTCTCACTTTGTCCTCAGACTCAGGGTACACTGCCTGAGGGTACAATGCCTGTGCCATTCCGACCTTTTTCCTCTTCGAGTTCTTGTTTCTCTGTAACCACCTATAGTTAATAGGTTAGGTTCTCTGAATGCAGAAGACCTTGACCCGACAAGTGGCATGGCATTAGCTGTTCTGTGAGCATCAGAGGGCTTGTCTCATCTCATGTCCACACTCTCTGGAACCCTTCTGGGACTGGGCCATCAGCAACAGGCTGGAAGAGGTTTAAGTCTTACTGTGTGTCCTGTCCCTCCTCCCCTCCCCAGGGTCCACCGCTGAGGCTGCCCGCATCATTTACCCGCTGGAAGCCCAGACTGTCATTGTCACCAAAGGCCAGAGTCTCATTCTGGAATGTGTGGCCAGTGGGATACCGCCACCTCAAGTCACATGGGCTAAGGATGGGTCCAGTGTCTCTGGCTACAACAAGACTCGCTTCCTGCTGAGCAACTTGCTTATTGACACCACCAGTGAAGAGGACTCCGGCACCTATCGCTGTATGGCCAGCAACGGGGTTGGGGAACCTGGTGCAGCTGTCATTCTCTACAATGTCCAGGTCTTTGGTGAGCATCTCCCTGGACTTTCTCCTCTTTCCTCTGACATCTCTGGCCGTTCTAGAACCACACAACCCAGCTCAGAGAGGGTTATGTTGTGAAAGGCTACAGAGCTGGTAAGGGGGGGAAGCACATTGGAGAGACAGAGGTTCTTAGATCTCAGGGCTAGAGTTCAAATCCTGGTGTGCTCTTTAGTCATCTCGACTCCTCTCATAGAAGAGTCCAACAGTCAAGGAGGAAAAAGCCACCCAAAGGCAGTGTCTTATTCTGGTCTATGTGGTCCTGCGGGTGGAGAAATGCAGCCCCGTCTCCTCATTCTGATCTGTTTTCTCCACAGAGCCCCCTGAGGTCACTGTGGAGTTGTCCCAGCTGGTCATCCCATGGGGCCAGAGTGCAAAGCTCACCTGTGAGGTCCGTGGAAACCCTCCACCCTCAGTGCTATGGCTAAGGAATGCCGTGCCCCTCACCTCCAGCCAGCGCCTCCGACTGTCTCGCAGAGCCCTACGAGTGGTCAGTGTCGGGCCTGAGGACGAGGGCGTGTACCAGTGCATGGCTGAGAATGAAGTTGGGAGTGCCCACGCTGTGGTCCAACTGAGAACTGCACGACCAGGTGAGTTCGTGCAGCCCGGCTGAGCAGGCATGCAATCCCTTTCTCAAATAAAGTCAAACTTAGCAACTTTTAGTTGCAAGCTCAAAATCACACTCACTTATTAATGAATCAAGTGTGCAAATTTTCATTAGTGAACGTGACTTAGTTGATGGGAATTTAAAAAACAGATTAGCTTTCCAACTCTGTGGGCTTCGGTGATTATGTGGAATCAGACTTTAAAAGCAGGGCTTTAGAACAAGGAAAAGTAAGGCCATTGTCTTTTTTTTTTTTTGTATTTTTTATTTAAATTAGAAACAAGCTTGCTTCACATGTCAATCCCAGTTCCCTCTCCCTCCCCTCCTCCACTGCCTACCCTACCCCCCCATCCCCACTCCATTCCCCAGGGAGAGTGAGGCCCTCCATGGGGGAATCTCCAGAGTCTGTCATTTCATTCAGGGCAGGGCCTAGGCCTTCCCCAAGTGTCCAGGCTGAGAGAGCATCCCTCATTGTGAAATGGGCATGCAAAGTCCATTTGTGTGCCAGGTATAAGTAATGATCTACTACCCAAAGCCCACTAGGTTGCCTAGGCCTCCTCACTGACACCCACTTTCAGAAGGTCTGGATCAGTCCCATGCTGGCCTCCCAGCCATCAGTCTGGGGTCCATGAGCTCCCCCTTGTTCAGGTCAGCTGTTTCTGTGGGTTTCTCCAGTCCAGTCTTGATCCCTTTGCTCATCACTCCTCCCTCTCTGTCACTGGGTTCCAGGAGTTCAGTTCAGTGTTAAGCTGTGGGTGTCTGCCTCTGCTTCCATCTGTCACTGGATGGAGGTTCTCCTCCCTGATAAAGAGTTTGACACTACCTTATATGCCATCCTAGGCCTTTCTCTTTAGCTGGAGTCTTTTCAATCATCACTTGACTGGGCACCTATTGTGCTCAGCATGGATCAGGTGACGTGGAGAAGGCAGAACGTAAGAACCCCTCTATTGGAAAAGCTTCCTACAAAGGAGGTGAAGCCATAGAAAGAATTTGAGAGAAAACAGTAATGGGTGATAGAGTGTGGTGTCATTGTAAGGATTCAGGCATTATGCTGGCCTGCCCCTGCCACCTATCAGAAGGCACTCAGGCACTACCCTGGTCAGCCCAGGTGCAAAGGACCCCTTTAAAAGAAAGACCTCCTCCCACTTATTCCCCTGGGGCAGACAGGACTTATCCTGTCTCCCTCTTCTCTCTGTCCTCTCTCTGTCTCTGTGTCTCTTACCTCTTTTCTTGTTCCTCCCCATCCCCCTTGCCCTTTCTAATAAAACTTCTCACTAAGCTCTGTCTGCCTGGCATGTTTGCCTGCCATGGAACTTGCCAAGGTCCCCCTCGTGATTTATCATAACAGTCATCAGGTGCCAGTATCCTCTGGTGGGGGATGGAAGCCAAGTGGGGCTGAGATTGAGGCTGGAAAAGTCAGCGTGGATGGAATTGTTGCCGTGCTGCTGTTGGCTCCTAGGTTCTCAGAGAGCATTCCCAGTTCAATTCATGTCTCCAGTCACCTCAGTGGAGAAGGAAATGACTGTCATTGTGTGTTAGTGTTAAAGTTTCATGGTAAAAGGACATGTCCCCAACCCAACATAGAAAGGAGAACTAAGTTCCTGGTGCCTCTAGAGCAAATTGAGATAATCCATGTATGTTTGTTTGTTCATCACTGTATGGATACCCTAGGGAAACAACTTTAAAGGAGGAAGGGTCTTGGTTTTTTTTTGTTTTTTTTTGGGGGGGGGTTGGCTCATGGTATCAGTCCCTCATGACAAGGAGGCTATGGTGGGAAAAAGCCACTCGCAACCAGGAGACACTGAGACATGACTGCTACACTAACTGGCTTTATATTTTCCACCATTTCATTCCCCTGGACCCCTAGCCTCTAAGATGGCCGTGCCTACGTTAGAGGTGGGTGGGTCTTTTCCATTTGTTAGTCCTCTCAGGAGACACCTTAATCTCTAAACCCAGGGGCTCGCTTTCCCAACCTCCCACGTGCTTCTCAACGAAGCCAAGGAGACAGTCAAGACTGACCATCACATCTGCCGTCTGTGAGCTGCAGGACCTGAGTTCAGTTCCCAGAGCCAACGTCAAGTAACTCCCAACAGTCTGTAACTCTGGTCCGGGTCTCCGGACTCCCTCTTCTGGCCTCCAAAAGCTTTTGCACTCCTGTAGTGAGCGTAAACTCCTACATGTACATAGACACAAATAAAAAATAAATTGTAAAAAGAGTCCAAAGTCTCTTCTGAGACTGAAGACAAACTCTTTGCTACGAGCCACTAGTGAGGAAAGGACCAGCTACATATGCTTTCAGTGCTCAATAGCACAGAGTAAACGCACCCATCTCAAAAAAGATGGAATGGTGTAGAAAGGAGAGACAGGAACAAAACAAGACCAAAGCCCAGCAGGACAAGCCTTAAGTCACACAGCGCCTAATCCAGGACAACATGGATGTGGGCTCGGCTGTCTTGGGCATTTGCAGCCCGCCTGGCCTCCCTTGGGATAGCTCCATACATTACCTGCTGCTTTCCTTGACAAGCATCCCAGTTTTGAGGGTATCTCTAGCTTTCCTGGAACTCTGTTGCATCCCACAGCTGCATACTTCACTGTCTCAAGGGCACCCCACAGGGACTGGGATCTTGCTTTGCATTGCTTGGTCTCTCAAGCCTTCCTTTAAAATCGGGAAGGAAGCTTCTATGACCTCACGACTCCTGTCTTCCACATGTCTACACAACCAGTGCCTTGTGGATGGCACTAAGGGCTTTTGTTTGCTCAAGGAGTAGCCTATCCAATTCGGATAACACCGACAACACAGTGGTCAATGGATGCCAGGTTGGCTAAATGAAGGGGAAACACTTCCCTAAGTGTCCCTGTATGAGCAGGTTGTCCCAGAGTTCTCATCCCAAAGCAAAGTTTTTCAAATGATTTAAAATCTTTACATGTTTTAGGCTGCCCTGAGTGGGGTGTAGCCTGACATGCTCTCAAGATGGCTTTTGCCATCTTGTTGAAAAGTATGTGGCTTCTTGTCAATGGTTCTGGTGACCTTAACCACCCCCATGGCCAAACATATATTTTTCAAATCATTTTCACAGTCCTTCCTGGAACTCTCACTACAGGCCTCATAAAACCAGCTAGCAATAATCATGCCAGGGCCTGGATGCTGAACCACCTTGTAATTTACTCTAGTCTGTCACTTTCAAGCTTAGCTTTCCGAGAAGTCTTTGCCACTGTGTCACATGAAGGCTTCCAGGCCAATTCCTAGCAGACTTCTTATTCTCTCTTGTCTATCTTAAGTCCATCTTGTCCATCATCTTAAGTACGGTCTCTTCCGCCACCCCCATCAGCATCTTGCTCTTCTGGACTTCCACCAGAATCCCATTAACTTCTGCTGACAGCACCCTAGAGCTTTCTTAGTACTCAGATCCATTCTACAAACCCCTCCTGTAAGTCTGACCAAAAGGTGCAAGAACCTTGGGGCAGATTTAGTTGCAGCCCCAATCCCACTTCTTTGGTCCAATGCTCTGTGCTCATCCTCTTTTCCAGCACTGCAACAAACAAGTACTGCAAAGGAGAAAACAGCTCAGAGGGCGGGAGTCAATTGTTTTGGTTCAGGGTTTAGTGCAGAGCTCTTAGCTCTGCTGAGTCTGGGCCCATAGTGAGACAGAACTTCATGTCAGTCTCTGTGGCAGAAACTATATGGCTGATAATAAATGGAGAGGGAGGGAGAGGGGGGAAAGGTAACCTTCAAAAACATGCCACAGTGGCCTACTTCCTCCAGAGAGGCCCCACCTCCCCCAGATTGCACTGTCAACTGAGAAACAATCATTTAACACAGGAGCCTGTAGGGAACATTTGAGGTTTAAACAATCATGTCAGTGCCAATGAGATGGCTCAGCAGGTAAAGGTGCCAAGCCTGACGATCTGAGTTCAAGCCCCAAGGACCCACGTGGACAACCAGCTCCCCAAAGCTGTCCTCTGACTGCCACACTCACTCCACGGCAGACGCACATACACACACACACTAAAATATCCTAAAAATGTAAATATAAACCTCAGCATTACTCAAGTATACATCCTGAAGACACAGGCTGCAGGCTACACAGACGCTGCCTGTCTTCTGCCTCCAAACTACACCAAGAGGCCAGATCCAAGTGGATAGTCTTCCTTTCCTTCTGACAGGACAGGGGCACCAGCCTTCTCTTGTGCAGAGCCTGGTTGTGTGTCGCAGGTGGACTGATGGGGTCTCAGGTCTTCTCTGATTTTCTTCTGTTTTCTCCCTGGCAGGTGATCAGGGCCACTAACACCTTCCTCCTTCCCTTCTCTTTCCTGCTTGGTCCTCAGACACGACCCTGAGACCCGGGAGGGATGCTAAGCCGATTGCCGCCACACCTCCCATGCCACCCTCCAGACCCAGCAGACCTGACCAGATGCTACGGGAGCAACTAGGGCTTGTTAAGCCTCCAACCTCAGTACAGCCTACTTCCCTGAAGTGCCCGGGAGAGGAGCAAGTCACCCCTGCAGAGGCCCCCATCATCCTCAGCTCACCCCGGACCTCCAAGACTGACTCCTATGAGCTGGTCTGGAGACCTCGACATGAGGGCAGCAGCCAGGCACCCATCCTGTACTATGTGGTGAAACATCGTAAGGTATGACCCCTGGCGCTGTACCACCCTCTCCCTGCAAGACTCCTGTTAGTGAGACTGAAGTGAGTCCCTCTGTCTCCTGACCTGAAGTCAGACCCCAGCATACACCACAGCCGTGCCCTTCCATCTCCTCAAATGCCCATCACCGCTCCCGCCTCCTGGAGTGCTAGCGGCAGTACAGACAGGTGATGTCTCAGGGGCCCACACGGAACCTCTGCCTGCGTGGTGTAAGCTTTATGCATCATTGCCCGGACTGCAGTGCCGGCTCCAACTCCAGCGATAACTCACCCCCGCTACATGACTGTCACCATCACAACCCTCCCCACTTGCCCCCATCATAGTTTGGTGATGCTGTTTTGATTTGTTTTCCCACCAAAGCAAGCTGTTTTTTAAACATACCTGCAGGGACTTTAGCAGGGCAAACAGTCTGTCCAGCCAGAAAAACAAATACTAGGAAACAAGCAGGCTGGGAAATGTCCTCTAGTTCTCAGATATTACAGTTTAACCAGCGGGCAGTAGTGTTCCTGGCACATCACGACGTTGAGACCATAGCTATGTCCCCTCAACAGAGGGAATCTGTTGTAGGAGCTGTTAGGGAGAGTCTCTTAGATTGTGGCAGGATGCAGAAACAGAGCTGTGCGGGTCCCGTGGTCCTGGACGCTTTGGTGAGGCCTTCAGGCTGCCATTCTGCTTCCAAGCTATACAAGGAGGACTAGATGAAATTCTTCATAAAATAGCATTTCTGTTTACCACAAATTTGTGCTGTTTATTTCTAATACCATCAGATAGAAAACTGCTGTTTTTTAAATGGATTAGAAATTTTATTACCAGCAGCCTACTCTAAATTCAGAGTTTTTATTCATTTAGTTGGGTTTTTTGTTTGTTTGTTTGTTTTTACTTATAAAAATTTTTGTGTACTTGGAAGAAAATGTAAAATGGAACTGGAAATATTTACCCACTTTTTCCTATTCCAAAAAGCAAATAGGAAACCAAGACTGCAGTGTAGTGTTCTGGGTCTACGCAAACCATGTCCCTACTGCAAACACCACTGGCCTCTCATCTGTCCTTTTCTTTGTCCTGCCCTCCCGGGAGACCTGGGAACCAGAGAAGTCCCCAGAGCCCTCAGAGGGTCAGAAAAATACCTAAGAGGAGCAACACCCTATGCCGCCATGTAGTTTCTCTTGTAGGCATAGGAGACACCACAGTCCACACCTACACCCCGCCGCCTGGAACAGTAAAAGGTGTGAAGAATTTTATAAAAGAAACAGCCTTGTTTAGCCAGCCTATGTTCAGGACAGGGCTAGTCTCCATCTTTATTTTCCTATGTAATTAGACACCTCCCTGTGAGTTGTAGGCTAGGATCCAGTGAGGCCAAACATGGTACCCAAGAGACAAAAAACAGTGTGAGAGTAAGAATAATATTTTTCAGGCCAATAGGTGGCCCTGAAGCTACCTCCCACAACAGGCAGGCAGGCAAAGACCGCACTGGGGTAATCCGGAAATGCCAGGCTGATTCGGCATTCACCCTCCCCATGTGTGTGACAGTGACTAATTACCCTTGCGTTTTTTATTTTCATTTCTGGGTCCCAGTGGAAGTGTGCGGCTGGGCCAGTGCTGGGAGGGCAGAGGGAGGAGGGGGTACAGGGAAGTGACAGTCAGGACAGGGCCCCTGCTGAATCTGGCTTCCATTAGGCACTGCCCTGTGGAACAGTTGGAGCTTTTAGGTGACTTGCCTAGGGGAAAGTATGTCTTGAAAGCCTTTCTTTCTTGTGGAAGTAACATAACTTAATGGTCATCACCCAAGAAAGAATGTTGGAATCAGAAGTCAGCGTTGGCTTGTGGGTTTTTTGTTTGTTTGGTTTTTGGTTTTTGTTTTGTTTTGTGTCTGTGTCCTGTCTTTTGCAGGACATTGGGAATTAGTCAGCTGATTTTCACATCCATGAAGCAAGTTTCACATCCTAGTCCACTGTAGACCCGGGCTACTGTGTTTGGGTTTCCAGCATCACTGGGGATTCTCAGTTTGTGAAAACCTTTCCCCTTGGACCAAATCCTAGAAGCCCTATGTTAATGAGCTTAGAACATCCTCTTGCCTTGAATGGGAGGTTTTGTTCTATTCTGGAATTCTCTGCTTAGGGGTAAGAGCTCTCCCCACCAGCTGTTTGCTGTCTCTATCGGCCCCAGCTTTCCATTCTGGAAAGCTCTCTGAGATGCATGGCACTGGCTGCTCTTAAAAGATGCTGCGTTGTATAAAATCATCTCTCACCATTGCTTCAGATGGCCTCGAGCCCTCTCATAATATTTTTAGAAAGATAGCTATTAGGAATTCATTTATAATCATGAGTAGGCACCCTGTTTTTAAACTTCAAAAGCATGACAGAGAGCAGAAACAGAAAGAATTAAAGTGAGAACTCTCTGAGGGTGACGCTTACAGAAAGGGAGGAGACGAGCAGGTTTATTTGTTGGGAATCTCACCTGTGCCACCAAATTTGACTTCAGAATACCCCCAAGAAATTGCATTCACCTTCTTTTAGGAATGAATGGCTCAGGGCTCAAGAGTGAGAGGGTTTGCTCAGCCAGAACTTGGAGTTTTCTACTCCCAGACTCCTCTTTCTAGAACAGGTAACATTGTAAGCACACTCTTTGGACTCCAGTGAGAGTTTCTGTGCACACTAGCTCTGCAGCCTTGAACAAATTCCTCAGCTCTCTAAGCTTAGGCCCCTTGCTTGAGATGTAGGAACAGAATGAAGACTGGTTGCTGGGACTTGAGGACCGCTGAGGTAGTGTGGTCACGGCGAGAACTCTCTGGTGCCCTGCCCATTGCTACAGCCTTTGTCATCATTCTCCTCAGTGTCTCTTGTTAGACTATGGATGGAAGGACCTGTGTTTGGCTCAGTGTGCAAACAGAGAGAACATTAGATGAGGATGTTGCAGGAGTTGGGGGGAGGGGTGGCCTTAGGGGCAGTTCCCAGCAGTTTCAGCTTGGCTTTCTAGATATCCTTGTCAGCTTCACTCATGGCGTTATTACCTGAGAGACCAGGAGATAGGACCTACAGTGCCCCCAGCCTGGCCCATCGTCCTTCCCTCTTTCTTCCCACATGGGCTCTGACTGAAGTCCTCCTGGACACTAGAGGAGAAGCTGGTCCTTACACCAGTCACCTTCCTCAGCAGGTCACAAATGCCTCTGATGACTGGACCATTTCTGGCATCCCCGCCAACCAACACCACCTCACCCTGACCAGTCTTGATCCCGGAAGCCTATATGAAGTGGAGATGGCAGCCTACAACTGTGCCGGAGAGGGCCAGACAGCCATGGTCACCTTCCGAACAGGTAAGGTCAAACGTTGTGCCTGGCTCAACATTCCAAAGACCTGAGCAAGTTATAGGAGGCCCAGGTGCAAAACCCTGTTGAATTTGTGTAGCTTTTCACCCACAGCTCTACCCTTCTCCAATGGCTGCCTCTGTGAACTTAAATGCCTGGGCTAAAGTGCTTGCTTTTCTTTATGAGACTGATGAGCCACCCCTCTGGCCTCCCACCGTCCCTGTCAAGCACAGGGGGCAATAGCAACACCATAGTAGAGTTGCCCAAAGCTGGGAAAATCACACTTTCAGTACCCTGAAATCATATTTGTATCACCGTGTCAAAGCTCTTGGTAAATTCTTAGCAATAAGGGAGGGTTCGTATCCTCTCTCACTTGCTATTCTTAATTCCTTCTCACCCAGGGCGGCGGCCTAAACCTGAGATCGTGGCCAGCAAGGAGCAGCAGATCCAGAGAGATGACCCTGGTACCAGCCCCCAAAGCAGCAGCCAGCCTGATCATGGCCGCCTCTCCCGTAAGCCCAGCAGCGGTGGTAGGGCAGCCAATGGGCAATGGGGACAAACTTTCGCTTGTTGCTGCATGTTACCCAGGAGGTTAGGATTCCTTAGGCCAGGGATCCCGATGGCATATTCTTAGCATCTCCTTAGTAGCCACAATGAAAAAGTACAGATTGGAGTCTTTCAGAGAAAACACTAGAATTACTGAGTCTGTGGGTCCAGAGAGCGGCAGTTTCCCATCCTCTGGTTTTTTGCAGAAGATTAGAAGAAGGTTTATCTCTGAGTCTTCTCCCACACGAGGGATATGATACAAGCAACAGCAAGCAAAGAACTGTGAAAAGGAACAGGCCCTGTCAGGGTCGGGCTGGGTCTAGTCAGTCCAGAGCAGCATCCCATGGTGTCTGTCTTTCCACATCCCAGCCCCAGAAGCTCCAGACAGACCCACCATCTCCATGGCCTCAGAGACGTCTGTGTACGTGACCTGGATTCCCCGAGGCAATGGAGGCTTCCCCATCCAGTCTTTCCGTGTGGAGTACAAGAAACTAAAAAAAGTGGGAGATTGGATTCTGGCTACCAGTGCCATCCCTCCCTCGAGGCTGTCTGTGGAGATCACAGGCCTGGAGAAAGGTAGGGACATGGCTTCTCTCTTTCTCTTCCTGGTCCTCTCTGCCCTGGGACCCCATGGAAGAGGAAGAACAATGAAGGATCCTTTGGAATCCAGTCCCTCCCTTCATCTCCCCCCTCCCGCCCCACCAGAGTACTCATGGGTATGGGATCTGTGACTCTGCCTCAGCCTCTCCTCCTTCCTCTCTCCATCGAAGGGTTCAGAGACACTTCCTGTGTGGCTTGAGGAGGATGAACATTCTTGTGGGTCCTGTGTGGACATATCTAAGGAAGAGCTGACCAGATCTCCCTGGGCTGGGCCTCGGTGGGCAGTGGGGGTAATCAGCTGTATTTCCCAGGCTCAGGGAGGGTCTCTCTCATAGGCATTTCCTACAAGTTCCGAGTCCGTGCTTTGAACATGCTAGGGGAGAGTGAACCCAGTGCTCCCTCCCGGCCCTACGTGGTGTCAGGATACAGTGGCCGTGTGTACGAGAGGCCTGTGGCAGGCCCTTACATCACCTTCACCGATGCAGTCAACGAGACCACCATTATGCTCAAGTGGATGGTAAGTGGCCTGGCCACCAACACTGTGGGAATTTCCTCGCTCCTACTTGCCTGCAAGTTTGGCTCCCCATTTAGTATACCTGGAGGCCCTCTTGGGGGACCTGGGAGGGTGATGGTAGCTGGAGCTGCTGTTAGCTGTCTTTTGTAACCTGGTTCCCTCTTTCTGTTTTATCCCACCGTCCTTCCTGCCTTTCACCTGATAACATAGGGCATCCCGACATTGTCCAGTGTCCCTTTGTGTTTTCAGAGAAGCTCAGCAGGCACCAAAGTCTTTGAAGAAGTACAATCTGTTTCTGGCTTCTAAAAGCTCCAGGGCCTATCAGCAAAATAAAAATAATGCACGATCTGTGCAGCCTTCTCTAGAGAGCCCGGGGGACTTATTCAGGATGTTTGCCGGGACCCCCAGGAAGTTCAGACCCTGGGGAGAGGATTCCACAGCCTTGACATTTTGCTTTGATGATTGCTCTGAAGCACTGTGAACATGCCTGTTCTCCTTTCCATGCAGTATATCCCAGCCAGTAACAACAACACCCCAATCCATGGCTTTTACATCTACTACCGACCTACAGACAGTGACAATGACAGTGATTACAAGAAGGACATGGTAGAAGGTAGGAAGATGTGTTGCTAAGTGTTTCCTTCGATGGCAAGGGGGTCTGAGTATTGGCAAAGCCTCATTTATGCTCAGTGTCGTTGAGTCATTTGCGACGCTCATGGAGCCATTCGGTTAAGTGATTTAACATGCTTCTTTTTACTAACCACAGTAGAACAGAAATGCAGATGGTCACCAGACAATTCTCTAGTGTCTCTTGTGTTGGTCAGTGGCACTAGCTTAAACAAACAACTTTGACTGACTGTGTGATCAAGGCTAAGCAAACAACATACGTGTCACCATAGTGACTCCCCGTCTCCTCCCCAGGGGACAGGTACTGGCACTCCATCAGCCACCTGCAGCCGGAGACCTCCTATGACATAAAGATGCAGTGTTTCAACGAGGGAGGGGAGAGCGAGTTCAGCAACGTCATGATCTGCGAGACCAAAGGTGATTCTCCCGGGGTCCTCTCCTGACCTGGGAATTCAGAGCCGTGCTTCCACCCACCCTGGTACCTTTCCAAGAAGACCCCTATTGCCCAAGCATCCCAGACCTCATCAGCTGCCACCCTTCCTATTTGCTCATGCTTTATGTTAACATAAGTAGGTTACCATCATGATGGCTTCAAGGACTTGAAAATTAACTGACCCATGAACTCATTAGGACTAGAACCTGTCTTAAGATGAAAATGTTCTATGCACACTGTGTTTCTTGGTATTTGTATTGGTTGGTTTATTTAATTCTGCTGCAGCCTGCAGCCTGGTGAGATGGGAAGGAGATCTGAACCTCAGGAAACTTCTTATATATGCATCTTGGCCAAAGTTATATAGCCAAGATGTGGCAGAACCTGCTTCAGACAATTCCATATAGCTACAAGCCCAGGCTCCTTCTCTGCACTAAAATAGCATTTACCAACCTGCCCCTTGGTGTACCTGAATGTCCTTCAAATGCCTAGCACACTTCAGATTCCTTAATCTGCCCAGAAATAGCAAAGCTATGGGAAGGCTCTCTCACCTGAGTTCCTTCAGGATCTCATGCATTTTAACTGCTTCTTTCAGAGAACGTGACTAACTCTGTCCGTGTTGGACTCACAAACATGTTTGTCGAAATATGTTTCAGGCCACCCCAACAACGCCTTTCACATTAGCTACCAGTGTCATGACCAGTTATGGGCATGATCCAAATAAAGACTATTGAGACCCCCATCTTGGGAGCTTGGCCCCACTTCCCATATCCGTTCATTTTTCTATTGGTTATAAAGAAAATGACAGAGAAACAGACACTGATGTGAGTTGTGTCTTCAATTGCAGCTCGGAAAATTTCTGGTCAGCCTGGTCGGCCCCCTCCCTTAACTCTGGCCCCACCCCAGCCTCCACCCCTAGAGACGATGGAGCGGCCGGTGGGCACTGGGGCCATGGTGGCTCGTGCCAGTGACCTGCCCTATCTGATTGTGGGCGTTGTTCTGGGCTCTATCGTCCTCATCATCGTCACCTTCATCCCCTTCTGCCTGTGGAGGGCCTGGTCGAAACAGAGTGAGTACCACACTTCAGCACAAACGGGAAGGAGCTCAAGGAGGGAGAAGTTCTCTCAGCCCAACAGGCAGGCCAGTGCCAAGGCAGGACCAGATGGTCCGGTTCTACCTCCCCGACAGCTCAAGCTACCGGGTGACCCCAGAGGTCCCACAGAAACAGTTAATATCTGAGGCAAGCCCTTCCCTCCTGACATGCAAAGCTCTATCAAGAGCAAGTGTCCTTTTATACCTCCAGTCTTGGTATCTATCTGCTCCATCTTGTTCTAGTGTCTGAAGCTGTTTCTGGAACAGATGTTCGTACTCAAACCGCCCCCACCTCTTCCCATTCTGTCCAGGGGCTGCCTTGAGCTTTCCCTTCCTCCTGGGCTAACCCGACTTGCCCACTAATAGTCCCAGCTGACCCCCACCCCCTGCACAATGGCCCTTTTCACTCATCGTCACTCCCTAAGCCCTTGCTCCATTCTCTCTCTGTCTTTCTCACTTAAAGAAATGGGTGATTGGAAGACTTAGAAAAAGCATTCTCAAGCTCCTGAACAGTCGCCTCCCTGCCTATATCCTCTGACGTGAGTGTGAGGTTTTTTTCCAACTCTAGGAGGCTAAGTATACCTCTGCCTTCTGTTTTTCCAGAACATACGACAGATCTGGGTTTTCCTCGAAGTGCCCTCTTGTCTTCCTCCTGCCAATACACGATGGTACCATTGGGAGGACTTCCGGGTCACCAAGCCAATGGGCAGCCCTACCTCAATGGCATCAATGGGAGGGCCTGTGCCAGTCAACTGCATGGAAGCAGGGCATGCTCTGCAGCTGTAGTGGGCTGCCCAGGCAGGAAAGCTCCGCAGCACTGCCCAGGGGAGCTTGCACAGGTAATGGGCTCGTGAGTGTGGGCCCAGGTGCACATAGGGAGGGACAATGAGCTACCTCTTGAACATTCTCCCTGTTCATCCAGGGATGCTGGGCTGGGTTCCCTGTGGCCAACCACAGATCACCTTGCCCAAGGTGAACACTGGGAAGTTCCTTGGACTCCTGGCATGACCTTTCATTATTCTTTCCTTCAAGCAGCAGGAAGAAGACACCAACAGCCCACTGAGGCAAACCATGGTTGGCAATGGATATGATCCCCAAAGCCAGCAGGTTGCCAGGTAACCAGGCCCTTCCTATCCCTGCATTTAGTCCCAAGTCCCAGAGCCTCCCATTCTCTTTAGCTCCTCATGTCCAAAGTCTGTCCCTCGGAATTGAGCAGTGCTTCCTGCAAGGATCCCCAAGTTTGCATTTGTGGTCTGTGCAGCTCTTATCCCATGAGCAAGTGCTGTGGGCACAGCTATGAGGCCCTGCCTACTTTTATCCCATGGGCAAGTGCCATGTGCACAATTGCTCTCTTCCTGCTTGGGGCTTCAGTTGTTTCTCAACATCTGTTGCTGGCTGGCTCACCAAAACCTTTGAGGTATAACCAATTTTGTTTGCAGGCCCCTAAACAACCAGTTTGACACCTCCACCAATAAAAGTAAACTATCACTGGCTGAATTAAGCGTGGCACCTCCTGATGTTCCCTGGGGAACGGTGTGTGCTCTCAGCTCTGACCTGCGCTGATACCTTTAGCCCTGCCTTACCCATCCCATCTGGTCTTGCACAATGCAGAGGTCCCAAGTCTAGCTCGGAGGAAGGCTCTTTCTTGTACACACTGCCTGATGACTCAACTCACCAGCTGCTCCAACCTCAAGATTGCTGTCATCTCCAGAAGCAACCTGTCACCACATGCCAGACAGCAATGAGGAGGGCACCTGAGTGTCCTGGTCCCGAAGCTTCGTGGGATCCTCCATATCACTCAGGTCAGCCAGGGGCAACAAGGAGAAATTATCTGATGGGGTCACCCATTATCCAGTAATGGATTTGAGGAGAAGGGACAACTGTCTTCAAGGAAGCATTTGGGAATTGGGAATCAATGGTCACTTTCCTTTGCTACTAAAGACCTGGAGTGCCATGGGGACTTGTCCGGTCAGTCTGATTCCACTGTCATTGTGGTCATCAAAGGCTGAGAAGAAAAGCATTCTGTATTCCAAAGGAAGAAGCCAGATTGGCATCTCCATTTCAGATTCAGGGCCATTGGTAGATTCTGCCTGTCATCCCACAGAGGCCTCTCTAATCCCTTGCTCTGTTGAGTCATGTCTTAATTAGGAGCACGTCTCCTCAATCATCAGGGAGGCATGTTTGTACACATGGCATTCTTGCAACCAGTGTGCTGCTATAGAACCTGTTCTTCTGGGGCCACCCCCTCCCCCATCCACGGACCCCTCTGTACCATACTTCAAGCCAATCTGCTAGGATTTGGTTGGGGACACTTGGTACTCCAGAGGGTTAGCTGGTGGCTCTTAGCTTCCAGAGTGTGCATGTGAAGTCTATGACAATCCTGGACCATCTCTAGGACATTAAATTTGAAAAGACTGTCAGCTCCCAGAGCCAGACTAACCATCATGAAAACAAAAGTGACCAGGGTGACCAGAGTGACCAGTGTGGCCAGTCACAGATAGAGATTAGCTCAAGACTGTTTGGTCAGTCTGGATTTTAATGCTGACTTTTTTCTCTCCACAGGGCCCCGGTGCTGTTTGGGCCTTGTACCAGTTGAAGAAGTAGACAGTTTTGACTCCTGCCAAGTGAATGGAGGAGACTGGTGTCCCCAGCACCTGGCCTACACAGGACAAGAACTTGGGGTGCTACTCTCTCCCAGCCCATCAGTTCATGTTTCCTTTGAAACACCACCTCCCACAATTTAGGCTAAAGCCAATATCCCAGAAAGACTATATATTGTTTTTGTTTTCAAAGAGACAGAGAAAATTGGTATTTATTTTTCTATTATAGCCATATTTATATATTTATGCACTTGTAAATAAATGTATATGTGTTTCTATAGTTCTGGAGAGACAGGGAATCCTCCCCTTTATGGTACAATGAGGGAAACAAGTAGCAAGATAACCGAGTCCAGTAGAAACGATTAGCACAGGTTGGAAGGCTTCAGATGGCCCATGGAACCTGCAGCTGCCTGGGGCTGCAGGAGGCCCTCGGGCAAGGTGGCAGGACCCTAAGCTAACGGTTCATGAAGAGCACACATGAGGCAAACAGCAAAGGCCATGCTGCTACAGACTGGAGCCACCCAGAAGCCACTCGGACTTGGTGGCACAGGACACATCTCCAAGATGCTATGAGAAAAGCCCCAGATGTGTACAGCACTCTAAGCATTAACGACCATCCAGAGTCAATAATCTGTGGCAACATATCTCTGTAAAAACAAACACTGTAACTTCTAAATAAATGTTTAGTCTTCTCTGTAACCTTCAACTTAGTCATGCATGAGTCAGCGTTTTCTTTAGACGTTGGGAGTCCTGTTTTGGAGTACCAGGAGAAAATAACCACTGATGATGATGACGATCTCTATCCCATCAAGTGATGAAATCTGGAAACAGTAGCAGATGTTTTGCATGTTTTTGTATTTTTAAACAATGAACATTGTGTTTGGATTCATGTAAAATGACATTTATAACTGTTTACTCCAAGGGGCAATATATAGACAAGAGAAGCAGGTTCACTACTCTCTTACTAGACTGGAGGTGCATGTCTGCCTATTGCAGGAATGAAGCTAATCCTTCTTATGTAGGGGTGTGTGTGTGTGTGTGTGTGTGTGTGTGTAAACTTAAAATCTTTATGTGTGGAACTGGACCTAGGGGTGTGTCTGTGTGTAAAAGACCAAATATTGCCTGCAAAACACCAATTAGATTAGTGCTATGCTACATATGAACATGTGGTCCCTAATAGATTCCCTTCCCTTCATTCTTTTTTTTTTTTTTTTTTAGTTTTTCGAAACAGGGTTTCTCTGTATTGTTTTGGAGGCTTCCTGGAACTCTCTCTGTAGACCAAGCTGGCCTCAAACTCACAGAGATCCACCTGGCTCTGCCTCCCGAGTGCTGGGATTAAAGGGGTGTGCCACCAACGCCCAGCCCCTTCCCTTCATTCTAAAGTTACCATTGCCGGAGGAGTTGACTCATTTCAAACCAGCATTTATTTAGTGTTCAACTAAAAGACCATCCATAGGTAGACAGGTGTGTATGTGTGTGTGTGTGTGTGTGTGTGTGTGTGTGTGCGTGTGTGCGCGTGTGTGTGTGTGTGCGCGTGTGTGCAGTGTGTGTGTGTGTGCATGGTGTGTGCGTGTGTGCGTGCGTGGTGTGTGTGTGTGTGTGAGTGTGTGTGTGTGTGCATGGTGTGTGTGTGTGCATGGTGTGTGTGTGTGTGTGCGTGCGTGCGCGTGTGTGTGTGTGTGTGTGTGTGTGTGCATGGTGTGTGTGTGTGTGTACTTAGAACCTCCGGTGTGTGGAGTGGAACTGGATCTAAAAATGGAAACTGAGAATTTAATAAATAGAAGCCTGGGAAACGCCGTCAGTCTGATTGTTTGGGATGAGTACACCATCTGCTGGCCAGAAGAAGTACTGATGCAGACAAAGAACCCTTCGCAGTCCCTGCAGGAGAGTGGGCAGAGCTACTGTTCGCAGTCTTGGCTAATCCAGCTCCAGTTTGAACTGTAGTTCACCTCAGACTTCTGTAAGCTTACTTTTTAAAAACCTCATTTTGCTTTTACTTCTTTGTGATCTAAACTAATTGTCAAAGTGGGTTCTGGTGAACTCTAAAAGCAACATATGGCAACCTGCTTCTTTCACCCATCCCTTTAGACTGGCAGGAGTTCCTCAGCTTCCTAGGATCCTGATTATCACATTTCCAGAGCCTAACCACAGACACCAAGATGATCTGCTACCAGATTCTTGAGCTGCACAAACCTTCTCACCTCTGGGTGCGATGATACATTTGGAGCCTGTCCTGGAACTCACTCTGTAGGCCAGGCTGGCCTCGAACTCACAGAACTCTGCCTGCCTCTATCTCCCGAGATGCTGGGATTAAAGGCGTGTGCCACCACTGCCTGGCTAAAGCTAAGTGTTGAGGCAGATTTTTACACATTAAAAAACAATGAATGCTATGGTTAGCACTTTTTTGTTTTAATTAATAAAGACACATAGTTGAGTGCAGAGATCAGGTTGCTTCTAGCTAATCCATATGTGTGAAGCAATAGCTTCTGGGTAGCCTTGTCCTTTTACAACAGCAGTAGAACTCCAGAGGCAGAATGATGTCATGTCTTGCTTGTACACACAGAGACTACCCTGTCCAATGTGAACCACAAGGAACCGACTGGTAAGTAATTTATCCTTTCAAATGAAATGGTACTAACCACCAGCTTACTGGAGTAGACAGTGAGCATGTAGGTAGACACATGGATGTGTTAGAATTATATTAGAAAACCAGGAATGAGAACTTTCAACCCTCATGTAGGCACCCTAAAAAGAAGGACCCCTGACACTCTGATGTCAGCTGGCTTTGCCCAGTTACCTGGGCTCCCAGAAAGTGTGCCAGGGGCTATTGACATAAAAAGCATCCTAGAGGCTCTTATTGTAGAGGCAGTTCATTCTAGATGACTGCCATTGGTCCATCTGGACCCAGGCCTGCGTCTTGCACCAAAATTTGACATTTCTGATTCGAGAGCAATGGTTCTCAACCTTCCTAAGACTGCGGCCCTTTAATACAGTTCCTCATGTTGTGGTGACCCCCACCCATAAATATTATTCTCATTGCTATTTCATAACTGTAATTTTGCTACTGTTATAAACTGTAATATAAACTGTAATATAACTGTATTTTTGGAGATAGAGGTTTGCCAGAGGGGTCACGACCCACAGGTTAAGAACCACTGTGCTAGGGGTCAGAACCCAAAGTTGCTACCAGATAGCTTACTGGGCTGGATCACTTGGCTTGGTTCATCTGGGCTTGGCTTCCAACTGGCCTCTACATCTAACCACCTACGGTGGCTCTCTGCATCTGTATCATCTCCCTTGCTGCCTGTGGGGAGGCCCCTCGGAACTCTGTGGCCTCTGACTTCCTTGGAGCCATCTGTAGGCATCACTGTATGAAATGTAACCTGTGATCTGAGGGCTAATATCAGTACGGAAGAGTATCCTCAAAGTCTACAAATGTCAACAGCCAGCTAGGGAGCAAAATTGAGACTAGTAGGTAAACTGCAGCCCATAGAACTGATGCACCTTGTGAATATATTACCATTCAACACATAGTGACCCTGTGGAAAGGCACAGATGTGTCTGTCTACAATGCTGGCCTTTGTGCTCACAGATGTGCAGGAGAGAAACTGGGAAAGGCTCTCCAGTACAGCCCCTACCATCAGGGGTTTATAGTACGGGTGCAAACAATATACCCGGGAGTCCAAAATGTCACTCCTGGAAAGACACCACGTGACGGGGAGATCATTCTGCAAGGGTTGCAGCCACCAATTTCAATCAACCCTTTGTAAGCCTGAAAGTACACTATTAAGTTTAAAATGTCACACATAGTCAAAAGTGGCTGCTAGTGTTAGTCCTTCAGAGATGAAAATCTATTTCCTCCCTTCCTCATTTGGATCCAAGTCAGTAATGGTTCAGGGGAACCCTGGCAGAAGGCACAGGCCACAGGAAAGCTAGAGGGGAGTTAGGTAGAATCCTGCTGGAGTTGCAAAGAGCCTAGAGAAAAGTTTCCCTAACTTATTTTGGAAACCGTGAACCGCAGAATTGAGGAGTTTGCAGAATCAGTGGGTGACTCAGGAAACCACCTCTGCCAACCCAAAAGAGTTGTTTTGCTGCATCTGTCTGCATTTCCTCAATCCTGAGCCCTCCAATAACTGCTTTATGAAGTCAACAATAACAACGTTCACATTTGCATTTCTTATTCTAAGTTATTATTGGCAAGATAGTTTGTCTTTTTCTCTTAGGTCCTTTCACAGACTGCTTAACACAAACAGTTTATTTTCTAGAGATCCAAGGACTAGGAAAAGGAAGTTCTCTCACCGATCGATGAATAATAGTTTCTTTTGCCAATGGCTAAATAATCAGAATACCAGAAAAACATATGTCTCGGAGAACACACTATATAACAGCTGCTTTCTTAAATTACGAGATTCAACCTTCTTCATATTCAACTTAGGATGAAAACATCTAACCTGTCTTAGCACAGCCATAATTACACATCAAATGTTATAGTTATCTCTAACGTGGAGAGATGTAGTTAATTCACATGTGACAAGGTGCTATTTTATGCTCTTGCTACGGTTCACTTTAAAGTAAGGATTGTTGTGGGTGACGGGATGTAGACCTGGTGAGTTCTGCCAGAACTCAGGGTGGGAAATGAGGAGACAGCGAACTTAGGCATCCATGGACTTCATTTCGTTCTCTTGTGTGGATGCGATGGGCGGGAGGATGAGCCCTCCTTTCTTCCTCAGAAGGGCAATCTCCTCCTTCAAGGCCAAGATCTTCTCCGACTGGGCCTGGACCAGCTGGGCGATCTTCCGGCCTGCCAGTATGTCTGCCTTCCGAGGGCCCTGGAAGGCATTCCCCTGTTTGGGGGGAAAAATACCTCTCTTATAGTCCATTTAAACACTGACTGCCTCTTCAGGAGACTTTTACTTCTCTGCTAAAATCTCACCCTTAGTTGTGTGCTTTTGGACAACTTTTAAAATGCAACCCTGCTTCGGAAGTACTTGACGCTAACTTAGCAGTCCTGCATGACCTGGAGAGCTCTTCACAGGGACTGAGGCTAGACACAAAGAAGGAATAAAGGGACCCAAGATGGGAGAGGAGCCCGTCACACTGCAGTCTAATTGAAGCCTCTCCCCAGCTGAAACTCAAGAATTCTAGTGCAGTTAAAATCTGTTGTGAAGGCTGCCTGGGTAGGGAAACATTCCTTTTATAGATATTGCAAATAAAAATGTTAAAATAGAAATGAACTATGCATAAAGTGGAAACACCTACGACTGTAAGGCATGGCCTTTCTCCTCACTAGCTGAGAGCATGTGATTTTCTGTAATCTTACATTTTGAACAAGTTCCCAGCTGGTGTAGATGCTGTTCCTCAGGGGACCATAATTTGAAAACACCTGGTTTAAATTATTTCCAGGATGCTTGAAGAAAATGGCAAGCAAGGCAGACTATGATGCTTTTGCAGACCTTATAGAAGGTGCTGGGTTACTAGAGGACAAGGCTTGGTCTGGTGAACATTAAATAAGTGTTACCCATCATATACTTTGTAGTAAGTATGTTCTTAGGTTCAATATGGATTCCATAATGACAAGTTGAAACACTCAAAAAATAGCAAGCATTTCATCAGGTGACATGTGTGGTTCTGCAGTTCAAGATGCCTACTTCCTGTCAAGTCAAATAAACATACTGAAAATGGACCTTGACACCAACCAA